ATCTATCTATCTATCTATCTATCTATCTATCTATCTATCTATCTATCTATCTATCATCTATCTATCCCAGTTTATTTATGCATCCTCCCTCAAATCCTCTATGTTATTTATCTTCTTTGGGTCTGTACCTCATAGTATGCTTCTCCTGTACTCTATAGCTATAATCCATGCCTGGCCCAACCAGAGACCCAACCTATCAGAGACTGCCAACTCCTGACACTTTGAATAATACTCTGCTAAGTTTGCAGACAGGAGCCTGATAAGAGTTGTACTTTGAGAGGCTTACCCAACAGTGCCTCAAAACAAATGCTGAGATTCACAGCCAAATATTGGGCAGTGAGTAGGGAGTCTTGTGGAAAAGTGGGCAGAAAGAGAAGAGGACCTGGAGATGACAGGAGCTCCACAGGAAGACCAACAGAGCCAACTAACTAGGGCCCAGAGGGCTGAGACTGAAACATCAACCGACGACCATGCAGGAACTGGACCTAGACCCCGTAGATGTAGCAGATGATCAGCTTAGGCTTCATGTGGGTCCTCTAGGAAGAAAAGTGAGGACTGCATCAGATAGTCACTCACTTGTCAGCTTTTTGATAACTTTCTTCTGGCACGACTGCCTTGCCAGGCCACAGAGGAAGATAACATGACTAGTCCTGATGAAACTTGATGAGCTGGGATGGAAAAGGGGAGGGGGAAAGGGGAGTGGAAAGGAGGGAGAATGGGAATGGGAGGGAAGGAGGAATGGGGCTACAACAAGGATATAAAGTGAATTTAACAAAAATAAATAAAATAAATCAACTTATAAAATGAAACCTTTTAAAACACTGAAGAAATAAATCAAAGAGGACACCAGAGGATAATGAGAATCTCATGCAAATGGATGGGTTAGCATTAATAGTGTGAAAATGGTAATCCTACCAAAAGCTATCTCCCGATTCAGTGAAATGTTCATCAAAGTTTTGATGTAATTCTCCACAGAAATTGAAAGAAAAATTTAAAAATTCACATGAAAACACAAAGGGCTCTTGTTATCCAAACAGTCCTGAACAAGAGAAACTCTGCTGGATGAATCACCATTTTTAATTTCAATTTATACTACAAAACTATAGTAGTAAAAACAGCACAAAAACAGATAACTTGATTGATTGAATAGAATCAAGGCCCCAAGTATTATAAGTCCATGTACCTTATATTCACCTGGTATTGACAAAGATGGCAAAAATATACACTGGAGGAAAGAGCATCTTTAACAGAAATGTGGTTATCTATCTACATGTAGAAGAATACAACGTGATCCCTCTCTCCTACCATGCCCTTCCCAAATCAATTACAAATGGGTCAAAAATCATAATGCTAGACCTGAAGCTTCTAGAAGAGTGGGATACAGGCTCAAGTAAGAACTTTCAGAATAAGACCCTAGTTGTCCAGGAAATAAGATCAACAAGTGCAGCTTCCTGCAATTAAAAAAGCTTCCATACTGTGAAGGGATCTCTTAAGTGATTGAAAAGGCAGCCTATAGTATACAGGCTTTCACTGAGAGGAAAAGTACTGGCCAGCTATAGATCTGATAGAGGATTCGTGTCTCTAATGTAGAAAGAACTCAGTAAGCTAAACATCCATAAAACAACCCAGTTAAGCAGTATGATATGGAACTGAGCAGAGGGTTCTCAGAAGAAGAAATAAAGATAGCCAGGCAGTAATTTTAAAGTGTCCACATCCTTAGCCATTAAGAAATTACAGGTAAAAACTACTTTGAGGTTCCATTGTACTAGAGTCAGAATAGCTAAGAGTTAGAACACAAAAGAAAGCAAATGCTGGCAAAGATGTAAGGGAAAGGGGACCTTCATGCACTGTTGGTCGGCATGGAAACAACCTAGATACCATAAACTGATGAATGAACAATGAAAATATGCTACCTACATACAAGAGAATTTTATTCAGATGAGAAGAAAAAGTTAAATGATGAAAATTTCAGATAAATGGACAAGATTGGGAAACATACTGAGTGAGGTAACCAAGACTGAAGAAAACAGATGTGGCATGTTCTCAGGCACATGTGGATCCTAAATCTAAATCCTTTATATTTTTACATTTAATTTGGAGTACATACAGAAGCCAGCAAACTAGAAAGCAGCCATGGAGAGGAAGGGGAAGAACAGATCCCAAGGAAGCAGGAGATAGTATGGCTCAGGTGATGTAACAGGATTAGAATAATGGGGGAAACGGTTTAAGGAGGGAGGCAAGGGCAGAGAAAGGGTGAGGAGAGGAAACTAACACCAAGGATGTTTGAAAAAGCCATATGGAAACCTACTATTTCACAAGCTTCCTAAATATCTATCTATCCAGAGATATGAAGAGAGATGGAAAGAGTCATAAAAATAATATAATTAGAGTTATTTTATCTAAGGGATAATGCTTCTCCCAGAAGGCAGAGATTGCCAGATAAAAAGCCCAATGCCAGGTGTATGATACCTTCCCTCAAGCTGTTTATTAAGGGTGTCCTGGAGACCCCACACACAATACACTTGATTGCCATTGTTCTTAATTTCCCACTAAAACTTTTCTTTCTTGTTTTGTTTTGTTGTTGGTTTTGTTTTGTTTTCGTTTTTGAGACAGGGTTTCTCTGTGTAAACTTGGCTTTCCTGGACTTGCTTTGTTGACCAGGCTGGCCTCGAACTCACAGAGACCTGCCTGCTTCTGTCTTCCAAGTGCTGGGATTACAGGTGTGTGCCACCCACACCCAGCTTACCACTAGAACTTGATAGTAAGAGCCTATTGCTGAAGACACTATATACTTTGTTCACAATACATGGAGATCAAGTTAGTAATAACCAGGAAGTTCCTTCTTCCTGGGTAAGATGTTCTTCAGGCTGCTGATGGTGAAAGGTCATCAACATCTTTACCAGCTATGAACCCTGTGGGCTACAATAATGATCAATATGGCAAGGCACGCCTATGGGTGAGTTTAAGGTCTGCTTCACAAGAAAATGCATATCTGGTACTGGCCGAGAACCCATGGTTGGGAGTTCTACTGTTTGCTAAACAGACAAGTTACTAAATTACCCTTTAAATACCCATAGATTTGTGCAGCATTTAGACCACAACAAAGAAATTTATTGTGCAGTGGTGGCAGTTAATGCAGAAACACACAACTGATCAAAGTGCAGAAAACAGGGGTCTATGGAGTGATCAGCTACAAATGGGATATCTGTAGTATAGGCCCTCCAAGTTTCAGGAAGAGGAGGCAGAAAGAGAAGGAGCAAAAGTGTGTCTTCTGGTCATGACGGATGCATTCATAAACTCACAGCATGTCTGGTTGACTGAATAAGACCAGTACAAGATGAAGACAGTCAACATTCCAACATGAGTGGGAAGGGGCTCATGAGCCCTCACTCCTAGCTGAGTAGCTCTTGACAGTTGATAGCTCGGAGAGGGAAACTTGGTTTCCCTTAGAGCTCTGGCCCTCTGGTAGGTTAGTCATGCTGTAGTACCCCAGGCCCCATTAGTTTAAGGCAGCACAAAATGAATTCTGTGGGTCATTAACAAAAAAGAGAGGATGTAAAGCTGGTGTGTGTGGGGTAGTAGCTCTGAGAAATAGAGGATTAATATGATCAAAATACATTGTATAAATGTATGGAATTCTTAAAAAATGAATAAAACATTTTAAAATAGTCTCTCAACTAATAAGGTACTAAGTAACACAGAAAAAAAAAACACAACTTCACACACTCTTGCTTTGATTCACACCTTATGGCACTGTTCTTCTAGTTTTCTAAATAATTTTCTACCTCCAGAGAAGCCCTTGAAGACTTCCTCACATCAGGAATGAAAGCTTGTGAACTATGAGTCCTGGGCTTCAGTACCCAGTCTTTTCTAAATGAGATTTCTCCAGCAGTACAGCAATCCACCCACTTTCCCTCAGTCAACACTCCTCTGTAAAACTCAGTAGCACTAAATGAAAGTGTTATCATCCAGCCATAGGTAACTCTCTCAGTGACAAAAAATAAATATCAGAGCCTTTTCGAAAGAAAGCTTCTAGCTCCCACAATGTACAAGAATGATTTGCCCCTATCTTCTTAGTACACAGTACATACTGAATCAATTACATCTATACAACTATTTTCAACCCCTTACTAATTCCTTAGGTAACCATTTTCTATTAATCTTTAGGATGCAGCATGTTCTATGAAACAGAGTTAATATTCCACAGATGTGACAGAGAGAGAGAGAGAGAGAGAAACTAGTGCTGGAAATAAGGATCACTGAAAGGGTATGGAGTTAGCACACAGGAGGGCCTGAGTTCAGTGCAGAGACCAGAGAGAAAGATGGAGATAGAGAGGATTAGATTACCAAAGATACACCAGAAAATTACTTAACACCATTCTGTTGGTCAGTCTTTAATATCTCATTTGTATATAAACTTCTTGGATGATGACACAAATTTCCCACATGAGAAAAGTATTCCTTATTACATTAACAAGTACAATGGAATTTCAGTTATCATAATACCATATCATGGAAGAACATATAATAACTATACAAATGACTGCTTCCTCTTGAGGTTGAGAGAGACTTTGCTATTTTATATCCCCGTGGAATGACACCGTGGGGTCAGAAAGTGCAAAGGTTTTTGCAGGACTTGTTTCTCACGCACCCTAAGAAGTACAAAGTTTCTAAGAAAGGCATTCTTGCTCAATATTAAAGCGTTCTTGTCACAGCCTACTTCAATACAAGAAACGTCTACTTTTTTATGTTCTTTGTATGTCCAGGGTCTGTGTTTTATGTACATTCAGAACACTGTTGCTTTCAAGCCACTATCACTGTGAGTAAGTTTCCTCTGGAGAAAAAAAAAAATAACAGCTTCCATTTATCAAGTCACCATGATATGCTGAGAACACAGCACAAATGAGGCCAAAGAGATTATGTGGTATGCCTATATTCACATTTAGGGACTGATCTGGGACACCGAGCAAGCAAACATGATCCCAAAGCCATGCCACTTCCTCTCCAACACACTGGTTTTTTTGGGGTGCAGCTCGAAAAGCCGTGAATTCTGAAGGGCTGCAGAGGGCAAGCGAGAAGATCAAGAGTTTCAAGAAGGCACAAGCAACACCACAGTGCTGAACATGCAACCCTTTTCCCAGCTGTTACCACGCCAAGGCAAGCCTCCAGCTTTTATCTGTGAAAAGCTAAAGTACAAAGAAACCAGAGTACACAGTATGACGCCCACTCTGAAATCCCCTCCAGTGTTTTTCTAAAGGATTTACACTCCCAGAATGTAGCCTCACTGATTAAAATTTCACAGACTTGTGAGCAAAAGGCTATTTTTAAATCTTGCGAAGATGGCTTTATTAGTCACTTCCTTGAAGGACAGGGCCACAGAGAAGGTTACAAATCTACAAGGAAGCGCTCTTAGTCTTAAAGCAGTAGTGATTCTTTCTACAGTTGGTCCCGGTTCTTCTTTTGGAGCTCTTCAACTGTTAGCAAAATGACAGTTGGCATGACTTACCAGTGAATTCACAGTAAATGGCTGCTCCATGCTGTCCTGTCTGCAAAGGCAAGGTACCCACTCTTTCTTCTCAATCACTTCATCTGTTTCAAAGACACAGAGCAAAGCTGAGGTTACTCCATGAGAACTTAAGTCTCCATTCATAAGCTCCAAGTTCAAAAGAATGTGAGCACTTTGGAACATGTACCCAACTAGAGTGCCTAAAGAGACTATGGAGGTCTTCTCTAAAAGAAAAAAGGCAAAACCATGGATGGTTAGGGGTTTTTGAAATGGATCTTTAAAGGTAGAAGGATGCAGAGAATTAATGTTTGGTGAGCTGAGCATATAAAGCTGCTGTATGCTGGTTTATTTAGAATCCCATGCTAGGCCATATATAAAGCGGGCTTACTGTCTTCAACAAGAAGGAAGAATATAGTTGTTGCTAGCAAGAATGCTGAGGCCACTGGCTCTTCACTGAGAGCCAGGCTGGGTTTAAGCAGTCTTCAAGCTGCATTTTGCAGAAGCATGAGACAGCTTTGTGCGTCCCGTCATTGTGAATCACAGTTTGTGGAGTCCCCTCCCTCCCCTTGAGAATGGGACAAGCCTGTTCTGTTCTAGTGGGTCTGCCTGTGGGACATGATAAGTGAATAATCGTTCCCACAATTATGTTCCATCATATGTCAAAGATGAGGATGTATTGCAGATACATTAAAGCCCCTTAAGCACTTGGTATCAAGTTAATTAAAAGATAGGGTGCCATGAGATCTTCACCAGAGGAAGTGAGACTTTGAACATCTTTTTTTGAGATCCAGATGCCAAATGTTCTGCAGCTGCAAGAAAGCTAGTTCTGCCCAAAACCACAAGAACTTCAAATAGGAGTCACAGCTGAGCCCCTACCCATCAAGACCCAATTTACAGTTCCCTAGTCTGTCCTGACTAGCTCAACAGCTTGACTGCAGCCTTAAGATACCAATCAGAGAATCTAGGTAAGCTATGCTCAGACACATGCCCCACGAAACAATGAGATGAGTTCAGACTCTCTTTAATCATTAAGTTCAAGAAAACAGACATGGTAGCAATAGAAAAACAGCCATCTATGTGACTACAAGTAAGTTATTCTGTTGGGGCATCCGAAAAATGGAGAAGTAATAGTGCCAATGATGGTTGTAGCAAGAATTAAATGTGTTAGCAGATAAACTACAAAGAATCCATAGCCAATATTCTATAAATGTTAAAATTTACTAGAATCTTTATGTTTGTGGTTGAGGAAACTAGGTTTCAAAGGTGTTATGGGAATATACCCAAATTCAAATCTTAACAATTGCTAGCCCTTCCTTTGTACAACAGTGGAGGTCAACCTCTCTTTCCATCCTTATGCAGCAGGAAATCTATTAGACTCATTATATCTAGAGTAAACATTAGAATGAAATAGTAGTCTTCTAGAAGTACTCTGACCTTGAAGAAATCGTTATAGAAAACAGTGATTTCTGTTATCTATAGAGTGGTTTTCTGAAGGAGCTTTATAGTCTTTGCACAACCTAGGTCACAGACAGTACTGCCACACCTGAAATGTCTATTGAAAACAGGACTAACGTTTCAGGGACGTGATATTCCACAAAATATATAAGTTAGATTAGGGGTCTTGGTATGAGGACCTTGTTTTACACAAGGAACAACTTCTGTGAACAATTAATAAATTTGCTTTTGTGTGGCTTTTCATGATGCAGTCCACAGAGGCTGTAATATCCTGCTTCCAGCAAGGCCTTCATCCTTGAGTGACTCTCTTTCTTTGACTGTCCAGCAGAACGCCGATGTCTTTACTTTCCACCATTAGCGGGTCATCTTCTTTACACCCTACCAGCTACTTTGGTAACTTTAGATATTCATCTTCTCACTTCGGAAACTGTGGGAGGCAATAGTTATTTTTTTAATTATTTTTATTTTTATTAATTACAGTTTATTCACTTTGTATCCCCCCTGTACCTCCCTTCCTCCTCTCCTCCCAATCCCACCCTCCCTCTTCCCTACCCGTGTCCCTCTCCCAGTCCACTGAGAAGGGAGGTTCTCCTCTCCTTCCCTCTGATCCTAGTCTATCAGGTCTCATCAGGAGTGGCTGCATTGTCTTCTTTTGAGGCCTGGTAAGGCTGCTCCCCCCTTAGGGGGAGGTAATCAAAGAGCAGGCCAATCAGTTCCTGTTAGAGACAGTCCCTGTCCCCATTACTATGGAGACCACTTGGATACTGAACTGCCATAGGGTACCTCTGTGCAGGGGTTCCAGGCCATACTAGACATATAATATAGGATAAACATACTAAAATCTGTACACCTAAGGAAGCTAATCAGGAAGGAGGACTTTGGCTAAGATGCTCAATCTCTATTCAGAAAGGCAAAGAGGATGGACATCGGAGGAGGGAGAAAACAGGAAACAGGATGGGAGCCTGCCATAGAGGGCCTCTGAAAAGCTCTACCCTGCAGGGTATCAAGGCAGATGCTGAGACTCATAGCCAAACTTTGGCCAGAGTACAGGGAATCTTATGAAAGAAGTGAAAGACAGAAACACCTGGAGAGGACAGGAGCTCCACAAGGACAGAGACAGATCCTAAAAGTCTGGACACAGGGGTGTCTGAGACTGATGATCCAGGCAATATTCTTTTAAGCTGTAACGTTGTACGATTTCACAAGGCTCCAATCAGATCAATCAATGCTTCTCCATATTTTCTTTCATCAGAAACCCTTCAAAGAAAATGACTCTGCCTCCCCTCTTGTCTCCCTCTAACTCCGGAGTAAATGTTGAGCTGTATGCCTGAGTCACAAAAGTCGTCCAGGAAAGAGAGTGCTTTGGAGAGCAGCAGGCAACTCTCACACATGGGAATTGCTATTTCTCTGTTCTCAGACCAAAAAAAAAAAAAAAAAAAAAAAAAATTAAAGAGTTGAAGAGACTCCCTGCTTGATGTCTGCACTGATGGGGTAGACACTGTAGGATTCAGGAGTTCAAAGTCAGTTTCAGCTACAAAAAGAGTGGAGTTCAGCAACATAGAAAATTGAAGGCCAGCCTTGGCTATGTGAGACCCTGACCCTGTCTCAAACATCAAAAAGAAGAGGGTGAAAGGAGAGTTAAAGAAAGAGCTAGAACAATGTCCATGGGTGAGGGAGGATGCACAGGATCAAAGAAACACTAGCCAGTCATCTGGGTTCTTTGAAGGAATTATTTCTGTAGAGGTAGAAGCAGGACGTCAGAATTTCTGTGCAATGCCATTCTGAGTGACACATCAAGTTCTAGTTCAGCCTGGGACTCATGAAACTATGTTTTTATTAATTAATTAAAATACAGAGTCCTAGAACTCATCCACAAGGATCCTAGGCCCAGGAAGGGGCATTTTAGAACAAAGCCCAGGGATTTTCATATAAGAGCTTCCAAAGATACTTTGAAAAGAACTGCCCTTTCTGCACCTGGGAATTGGTCATGCAGGATACTTAGTTGCAGGCAAAGACCCCAGCTCTTGAATTCAGAGAATAGAGAGATCATGTATTTCCAGGAAGGCCAGCAAAATTCGAGGCTTCCTGGGCTCACACAGTGCATTTCCAGGAACAGCACCCTAAAGCTCACAGAAGTCTCCACAGACCAAAACACCATCCTGCTGTCTCTGTTACAGCACAAACAGAGGTGTCTCCAGCCTCCTCTAAGACAGACTCTGGCAAGGAATTATTGCCAGGCGTCTACAGCTTCCTCTGCCAGAGACCCTTGCAAGGAATCGTTGCCCTGGAAACCGTGTGCAGTTGCTTGGGGGTTTCTATGTGTCTGTAGTTTCCATATCACAGCATAAAATATAGATGTCCATCATCTACGCCTAGATAACGTGCCTGCAGCCTGGCCGTAAAGACGGTTGAACATGGACCTATTGAACTTGTACCTATTCAGCATTTCACATTTCTGTAGTTCATATATATCCATATATGGCTACGCCAAATTAGAAACAATGTGTTCAAGGTGGCTGGCCAGACACAGCAGCAAGTGTTCAAAACAAAAGATTTCTTTGCAGTAAGTTTCTGTTTGTATAAAATATTTTGTTCATATATCTTAAATACCAGAACTAATTAGCTTGAAGCAGTTAAAATAATTACTCTGAGTGTTCACACACAAATGTGTTATTCAGTAGTAGAAACCAAGTCCTCGCAAATATAAGATGAAAGGAGTTCACAGACTGGTTGACCTATTTTTTCAAGTGTTAATTGATAGCACTCTTCCTATATGAATCCTTGCATTTTAAAGTTCCCAGTTCTGGGCCTTACAACTGCTACATAATCACAGTAATCTAGGTTGGTGGTTCTCAGAGTATAGATCAGGTATCTGGAAATGCTTTCACATGGTGTTAGAGGGCAGTATTATTTTATGATACTATTACAGCATCTGCTTTCTGGTACATGCATGCATGAGCACTGAAGGGACCAGTGTTGGCTCAAGACACCCCAAGACAAAGTTCTTAGAGAAAAAAGATTTATTTACCCCAGAGGGACAAAAGGCAGGGAATAAAAGACAAGGACAGGAGAGAGAAAAGGATATTTGTCCCGGGGAACAAAGGATTGCCCCTACACAGAGAGGACACAGACATGGCACATAGGAAAATGGCAGTTTATAAAGGTAAAAGGGGAAACCCCATGTCAGGATGAGTTGATTAACTTTAATTGGGCCTGTTAATTAAGGTGGCCAAAGGGGGGGGTTGATTGTTGGACTTTAATACTTTGATAGCTGGACATTGTAGTTCAGCCTCAGGATGAGGAAGTGGCCAATAAGGGCATAGACCTTGGGGGCTAACTTTAGGAATGTAATCTAATGGTTCTTAGCAAGGCAGAGGGAATGGGGGAGAAGGCCTGCCTGCTGGAGGCGTGTTTGCCATGCTCAGGCTGGCTGTCGTCCCCTCAAGCTCCTACGTGAGAGTATGAGTGAATGTGCACCGGTGCCAGCGTGTGCGCAGGCCGTAGGTTGATGTCAGCTGTTCGAGACATGATCTCTCCCTGAATATGAAGCTCACTAGCCAGGTACCTAGCCAGCAAGCGCCAGGGCTCCTTCTGCCATCACCTCCCCAGGGCTAGGGCTAGACACAAA